CATGAGAAGAATAAATTTGAGCTGGTGATGTTGCCAAAAGGCAAGAGAGCTTTGAAGAAGTGGGTGTTCAATGTGAAGCATGGTGAACAAGATCGTTAACCACATCTCAAAGTGAGACTAGTCATGAAAGGCTTTGGTAAAAGAAAGAGCATTAACGAGATATTTTCACTCTTGGTGAAAATGACATCCATTGGTACTGTTTTGGGACTAGGAGCAAGTCTTCGCCTGGAGGTTGAGAAATTGGATGTGATGAATGCCTTCCTTCATTACGATTTGGAGGATGAGATTTGCATGGATTATGCTAAGGAGGTTAGCTGTACTCTTGCTAACCACTTTATTCTGACATCCAAGCCGAGCCTTCCTGCTGTGGAGAAGGCGGAAATGGATACAATTTCATGTACTTTAACAGTGGTAAGTTTGATGTATGCCATGGTTGGTACAAGATTAGATATTGCTCACACAGATTGGATTTTCATTCAGTTTCTTTCCAAACCGGGAAATGAACTTTGTGAAGCAGTGAAGTGGATCTTTATATACCTTCGAGACAATGTTGATATAAGGATGCCTACTTATGGATATATGATTACTTTATCAGGGGCAGCAATACGGTGGCAGTCAAGACTACAAAAGTGTGGAGCTCTTCCCACAGCAGAGGCTAAGTACATTGTGGCAACGGAAGCGTGTAAGGAGATGTTTTGGATGAAGAATTTCTTAAAATAACTTGGGTTCCAACAGGAACGAGTGCAACTGGTATGTGACAGACAAAGATTGAGTTCTATTTATCACCAATAGGGATGATGAAACCTCCCAAGTAGTCTGGCGGGGGAGAATTGTTGGGCCCGTCTACATATGGTAGAAAAGCAGCCAACAAGTTTTGCCGGTGATTAAAGAAAAAAATTTAAAAAAAATAAACTTCAATCGAGGGAGAAGATGACGGTTGACAATCCAACCACTAGCATTAATCTCATCTTCCTTGCTAGCCTATAAAAGGTAGAGGCAGTAGCCTCAAAACATCATTCCTCTCCATTCCATTTCTTCCTTTCCTTTGTGCTCTGCTCCTGTTCGTATTTCTTAGTGAGTTTCGGTTGTTAAACGTTTTCACAACCACAGGTAGATAGGAGACTTCCTTGTGAGTGAAATAGTGAGGTTGTTTGGGAAACACCGTGTGTTCTATTTCTTGTATCTTGAAATATCTGTAACCTACCATTGTTATAGTGAAGAAATACTCCAGAGCTGCTGTTCCCGTGGACTGGCCCAAAATTAGGGTATGCCACGTAAATCCTCGGTGTTATTTACTTACTGTCTATGCTTGTTGTTATATTTGAGGATAGTTGTAGTATATTGCATTATTAATATTACCGAAGTAAATTGGTCTAAGGAAGTTAGTTACCATAATTCTGGAGGCTTGCCGCTAGGTCCAACTTACCTGTGAAATTTTTACAGGCGTGTGATTTATTAGTGCAATATATTTACCTGCTATTCTCACCCGCTGGGCCCAACAATATCCTCGCAGGACTAGGTTGTCTTCCTCAGTTCTCATTGTTGAGTGTTGACTCCCCAAGGTCTTTTCAGCACAACAACGCATAAGGCTTCAAGAGTTCAAGTTCTTTGTGAAGATTTGCCATCGGTCGCAAGGGATATCTTCGGCCTTTCTTAATTAATCATTTGGTCTGCGTTATCCCCTTCCTAGCTTCAATTCCCCACCTTCATAGACCTAAACCCTATATATGGTAGCTCCTGGGATTTCAATAATACATCTCAATAAATTCTCCATGTCAATTATTTGTCACATTGATCGCCTATTTTTTGGGTGTGTGCATGTAAGTACTGTTTGTATTATGCTTTGCTTTGATTGGGTGAGTAATTGTTTGTAATTTTATTACAGTTAACTTCATATAATTATCTTGCAAAAAAAAAAACTTCATATAATTATACATCATCTCCTATCTGTACAGTTGTGGAGCTCCGGTTCTATGTTTCCAAATCAACATACTCTGAAGGCCCATCAACCTCGGGAGCAATTGCTCGCCGTGTTCGGTATTCTAGCAGACAATGCATTTTCATAATTTTGGATATTTTTTAAAGCTTATCTGGTTGCTCTATGAGGCTGAGTATAATATCTTTGACATTGTCTGTTCTTATGTAGGCTTGAGGCGAGCTATTTTCATGTCTCCCAGAAGGTTCGACAAATCAACAAATTGTTGCCGAAAGGGATTGGCTTAGGCAAAATAGTCATTTGGCCCATGCTTAGTATAATAACGCCATGACTTATGTGTTGTGTACCTTTATTTTAATTTGATTACCATAATGTTTGTATGTAGAGATTGACACCTTCAACACGCGACTTCAACATATTAATCGCTTGATGGCTCAATTATGTCATAGACAATGACTTGTTGTTTTAAATAGGGCTTTTGGGACGTACTGTTTGGCATGCTACAGCTGGTAGAGTGGGCAATTTTCCTATAGTCCTAATAGCATAGAATTCAGTATGATTCCAATGATATCAATTTTGTTGGTTGGACAATGTAGTTCTCTTTGTTCCTTACTACAATTGAAATAAATGGTAATGATTAAACATAACTAAATTCTCTATATATCATTGTTATGAAAACTAAGGAGACACAAAAATATCATTAAAAAAGACTCCTATGAGGTTGCTAAACAACGTGTCCAAAATTGTTCAATTGTAGACTTATCTCCTGCAACGTGGTAAGAGGTTTGCAATTATATATTTTTTGTATCCACCTATCTTTTATGTAATCTTATGTACACACATGTCTGTTATTTGATTTCATGTCATTAAAAAAAAATATTGGTTGTAGGAAAATTACAACATTGTCGCTAGTCATATCCACTATATGAGTGTAATTTGGGAATTCACCTGTACACAACACATTGTTTTTCTATGGTGACAACTTTGCTTTATGTCCGATATATTTCAAATCCTACAATTTCATATACATTGCCAGCGCAATGATTAGCAATGTTGATCTCTACTGGGAAAAACACTATCCAGATATATCAAACTCTATCAGAGACCAATCATTTCTTTCATCCTTAAGGTTGATTGTGTATGTATTATGGGAAGCAACACCAATATTCAACTATGTGAACTACTTAAGTAGTGAAATACAATTTTTCCATCGAATAATTATACTTATTTCTTACATGATATTGCTCTTCTTCTTATTTTATTGGGAGCACATTATACATAATTGGACCACTGCTATAACTAAAATACAAAGACACATGTTATACGTATTGAAGGCATCTATCATATCAAATATATAAATGTCATTTTGCAGTGGAAACTCTCCCTTGCAACAGAAGAGTCCGATGCTAGTTCTGAATAGTTTACGCATGATCTGAAAGTAATATTTGTGCTACTTGTAACTTGTTGCTTGTGGCTTTAGTATGGTAATTAGGTCTTAAGTATTTTTGTTTCTCAATTTCACGATTTTGACAAATATAGCCACTTTTTGAATAATACACAAATGTAGCTATACTTTTCAAACATCGTTGACTAATCTAGCCATTTCCCTTAAAAGATTTAACGGAGTTAACGTCTCCGTCAGTTAAGTGGGCGTTTTGCTGATCTGTTCGCCAAATGGATGACACGTCATCGCCAACCGGATGGACTTAGCCACGTGGACGCCACATCGGATTACAAAAAAAATATTGAACTCTCTCTCTCTCCTTCATCGTCGTCGTTTTCATTCCCTTCCTCTCTTGTTTTCTAGGGTTCGTAGATCAGAGACTCATTTTCAATCCCTTCTTCCTTCTATTTTCAATCCCTTCCCTCGATACCTCCTCTCCACCCCAACTCCTCACTGCCGTCGACGGCTCCTCCTCAGCATTACCCATATTGCCCCCCCTTCCCCGCCTCGGCTACTGTCCCCTGTTACTCTTTCGATTCCATTTTCGCCTCCATACACCAATATAATCACCGATTCCATTTTTTCCTAAATAAACCAAATCTCAGTCGTTCCTTCATCTCCGTTTCTAGCAGTTGAATCCATGTCGAATAGGTCTGGAAAGAAGGTGGATTTCAATGTTGCTGATTCCGGATCAGCAAACACCAATAGTATGATTGTCGTTCGATGCGAGCACAACGTCCCATGTGTTCTTAAAAATTCGGGTACTTATACGAACCCAGGGCGACAATTCTACGGTTGTCCTTATTGGAAGGTAAGCAATACAGGGGTTGTGTGACCCAATTGGTTTTTACCTACAGTTTTGACTTTCATGCTTATTATTTCGCTGCAGGATAGGAAAAAAACTTGTCGATTTTTTCGGTGCGTGGAAGCAAACGATGATGAAACTGGCTCATGGACTAATGAAATGGGTTCTATTAAGAATCTGGAAGAGAGTCTGATGCTAGCAGAAAGGAAGGCAGAGAAGATGAAGAAGGAAAAAGAATTGTTGGTAAAAGAACTAAGCATATTGATGCTTGCTCATGAGGTTATGGCGATGCGTGTTAAGAGATTTGATGATGATGTCTGTATCATTCGATATCTGTTGATTGGTGCTGTATTTATGAATTTTATATTGGTTGTTGTTCTTTGGAGGCCAGAATCTGGTATGTAGTTAGCATTCTGTGGATTAGGCAATTTGTAGGATTTGTTGTTTGAGTAAGTTTAACAAATGTATGCAAGCTTTAAATGTAAGGATGTTTACTTATTAATGTAACATGTGGTCTCTCTATTTCTCTTAAAGCAACATAATCTTGGTTTTTTAGACACATATATTAAGCAAGTGCAAAAGGGTGCACATCAAAATGGTGTCCATTAGAAGAGTACATCATACACATGCAGCTAACAACTTGCACTTGCATCCATAAAAGTGTGTTCATTTGCATCCCTAACTTCAGTACTTTCTACCTAATCTGCTAAGAACTGCTTCCTGAGTCATGTAATCGTCATTACATAGCAACATGCACATAAGTGTCTACTATCGACATTACACAAAAGATGACTCAAGCATCATATTCTTTCTATCTAAGGCTGACTAGGTGGTGGCTGACTTCCATGCAGGTCCACGAAAGTTGGATGAGGTCCACGAACTGGCCTGCCAGCAACTCCATTAAGCTGAAATGAGTAACAAACATATTAGTAATCAATTCCATTACATTAAATCGACTTATTACAATTACAAGACAGGTCGGAAACACACCCTAACATACTGGTTCCCTGTCCTCTCATTAACATAAATGCCAACTCCAGATGTTGCAATTCGCAATTCCCTTTCAATTGTTCTTCTATCAGCCACATTGACAATCACATCCTACATATATGCAAAGGAAGTTAGGCAAATTTGTCTCAATCAAGGCCATGCTTGCGTTAGGAAGGAAACCACTTACTTGTACACCATTTCCTCTATTCAGAGGACAAGTCCTTGCGTTGTGAGTGGAACTCTAACATTTGGAACAATGAATGGCCCTCTTTCTTCTAGTATTCTGCCTCGATTCTCGCGTAGCAGGTGGCCCCGATTCTCGCGTAGCAGGTGGCTGTGTATTCCTCTGTGTACTTCTCTCCTGCAAGGAGCAAACAGTTAAATCACACCACATTCCAAATCTAAGAAAGACTAAGGATTAACAAGAATCTTACCACCACAACTTCTGCAACAGGGGGTGCCTTGCAAGATCTGGCATTGTGCCCCTCGCCGCCACACTTGGAGCAGTGGATGAGATTACCTCTCCTTGTAACCTCTTCACCAACCTCGTTTCTTTGTGCTCTGGTCTCCTCAACCTCATTTGCACTCCTTCTTATTTTCTTTTTTGGCCTGCCAGGAATTGATCTAATCTTGGGAGGATGAACAGGTGTTCCCTCAGGTGCAGGCCATGCTTGCCTACCATCAAGGCAAGGTATCCCATAGTTCTATGCGAAACTAGCCATGTAGACATGATAGTATGAATTCACATAATCATCAACTTCTCTTCTTAGATGGCTAATAGCTGAAACCGCGTGGAAACATGGAATGCCACTAAGTTTCCAGTAGCCACAAGAGCAACTACATTCGGTCAGATCTACTATAAACCCTTCACCCCCCTTCTTTACCTCACACCTTGCATTGAGAGTTTGCTTAGCTACACATAACCTAGCCTCCTCCTTTTCCCGTTCAACTCGTTTCCTAATCCTTGGAGGCAAGGTGTCTGTACACTTTGCAAACATTTCTGACTTAAGTACTACCTTGTCCATCATGTACTGCCTTACACCCTCCAGCATGTCTACAATTCTAAAACCCCTATATTTAACAATACAATCATTCCATGTCTCACATACATTGCTCTCAACAGAGTCACATTTCGAATAACATGATAGGAAGGCACGACAAAAACGATGAGGTTCAGCAGTCATAAAGTCTGTATATGGGATAGAACCATCACCTGACTTTTCAATGACCTCCAGCTCAGCCGTTGTGCGGTTCCAATGTACTTCATTGCAAGCATAAACAGCAAACCAAAAGAGCTTCCTACGATATGTTTTGTTCTTGGCCTTCCAGTTAGCATATACATGTCTTGCACATTTCCGGTGCTCAGCATCAGGCAGAATGGTGTGGATTGCCTCAACTAAACCCTGCAATGTGAGTTGGGAATAAAGTCAGCAAGAAAGTCATAAGTGGAAACACATAACGTCAGCAATAAAGTCAGTGGTATTGGACATTACCTTCTGTTGATCAGAAATAATAGTCCATCCCCTTCCGTCAACTAGAGTTAGGTCTTCAGCTAATGCTTGCACGAACCAACACTATGAGTTGGTGTTTTCACCTTCCACCACAGTCCAACATATAGGAAACATTTGATTGTTTCCATCTTTCCCAACTGTTGTCAGTATCATCCCTTTAACCTCTCCTTTCAGAAAACATCCATCCAACGCAATCATTGGTCTGCATCCTTCTAGAAATCCCTTTCTTAAAATTGAGAACCCGATGTACATACGTTGAAAGAAAACCTTGTCTCCATTAGGATGCGGGTCTACCTCCAAGATGAAATGTCCTTCTCAATCTCGTTTCTTCAATTCAGCCATATAACTTCTGAGCTTAACATACTCATCAACCAATCAACCACAAAGCAATTTGATAGCCTCCACTTTCGCCCTATAACAAGTTCTGTACTTAACCTCCATATTATGCTTCAGCTTCACCTCGGCCATTATCTGATTCGGAGCCCATTCAGGATTTATCCTGAATCTGTCTAACATGTCACTTGCTATCCACTTAGCATTAACTTGATTCACTTTAAGCTACCTTGAACACGAATGTGGCAGCCCTAATTTCCTGATCATGAAGCTCATGTCCTTCATGAACCAACTGGCATACAACTTCCACTTACAATTCAGAGCCTTACATTTCACCTCCCTCCTTTTAGGGTTAGTCCTAAGCCACCTCAGACTTGCACCTGCTGCGACTAAATGTCTAACAACAGCTTCCCTGAATCGCTCTGGACTCGCGAACTTCATCCGACACACAAATTGCAAGCTCTTATGATCACATTTTGGATCACAGTGTGGAGCATCATCGTACATTTCCCTAGCTTCTTCATCAGATAAGTTCAGACGAACATGATCCGAATCTTCAGACAATCTGTAAAATGAGTCATTGGAATTCTCATCAATGGCTTGTTCTTGAATAGGGGGTGGATGATTGGATATAGAATGAATTGAAGCCTCATTCCTCGGTTCCTCTCCCCCTGCAGCATCCTCTCCATGTGCACCATTATCATTCTCTGCTTCTGATAGACCGTTAATTACACATGTTTTCACCCCTGTTCTTACACCGTTTGAGATGTGGTTTCTCGTGTTTTAGACTGATTTCACGCTAGGTTGTGCTTGTTTGTGATATTTCAGGTCCTGGCAAGTGAATGAAGGTTTAGGAGCGAGTTCGGGGTCGATTGGGCGAAGATCAGGCGCGAGGCAAGTCACAAAGGAGGTCACACGGGCACACTCACAACTCACACGGCCGTGCAAGTGACCACTTTGGCCGTGTGAGATTGTGCGAGAGCAAACACGGCCTGCCCTGATGTTCACACGGCCGTGTGAAGGAGTGGCATGGCCATGTGAGTTTTGCCGAGAGCACACACGGGCAGATGGAAATTTCACACGGCCGTGCGACCCTGGCCGTGTGAGTAGCCTGAAAATCGAACTAATTGGAACGCAGCGTTTTGACTCACACGGGAAACTGGGTAAGCCACACGGCCGTGCCACCCTGGCCGTGTGAGTCGGGATTTTCTGCTTTTAAGCAGATTTTCAGCCACAAGTCGAGGGGATTCGAGTTTTTGAGAGAGAGAACTATTCCTAGAGAGAGAAAGCGACGAACAAGAGTCTCCAAGTGCCCTAGATTGATCTTCAACACCATTGGAGGCCAGTTTGAGCTTGGAGGAGTGCCAATCAACGTCCAGGAGCAGGAATCCATCCTTCACAATATGAATTCCGCGTCTGATTCTGCTTTTGCTTCTTTCTCCATGGAGTAGTTCTCCCATTCATCTGGGTATGGAGAACCCTAGATTTTTATGTTAGGTTTGATTGTATGAACCCAAGTACTGATTCTATGATTTGATTATATTCGATTGAGGTTTGAATGATTGAATGACTTGAATCCTGATCAAATTCCTGTTTTTTCTGCTTTAACCTAGAATGAGAATATCTGCCTAGGTTGATAGAGCATCCTTGATTGAAGGTAGGGAGTTGGTGACTTTAGTCGAGGAACGAACTCACTATTCTGTACCGGATTTACTCCGGTAGTGGATGTTTTGTTTGTTAAGGCCTCAATCTGTTTACTCCGGTGGAGGTTAGTCGCCCGCTAGAGACTCAGATTGAGAGGGTCTGAAGACCTTTAGTCGAGACTTCAGGCTGTTTAAGAACCTTCCGCAGTATAACTATCATAGAAACTGAACTTGGTAATTACAATCCGGCTTAACTGCAGTCTAGGGGGAACCATATCCGGGTGACCTCTCTTAACCTGAATACAACCGTTTACTTGCTTTGTTAGTTTGTTAGTTAGACTTGCATTCCAGTTTCATTGCTAGATAACAAGAATTCACTGAGTAGTCATCAAATCTAGGACCCGGGTTGACATATAAACCTAACCCGCTATACTACGCTTTAGGAAGTGGTTTCACTTGGCCAATTCCTAGGGTGACAGTAGAGTTGAGTCAAGTTTTTGGCGCCGTTGCCGGGGACGGCTAGGTTGTTGAAGAAAAGTGATTTCTGTTAATTTAGCTTTTCTTTTTGCTTTGTTTGCTTTGTCCCACTTGTGCCTTCACGGGTTTGCTTGCTTGAGTGTGTGTAGGTAGTGCATGACCCGTAAGCCAGTCAGGAGGTTTACTGCCGTTGAATCCAGAGATTGACCGCACCTGTCGCCAGCTCAGGAGACAACAACGAACTAGACTGGCTACGGAAGAGCGCAGAGACGGCCACGTGAGCAGTGATTCTGAGGAGGAGTACGAGATGGAAGACTACAATCAACACCAGGGGAATCCTCAGCAGGCTCCCCCGGTGAATCAGGTCCTGGGGAACAACCCCATACCCCAGGATCATGGAGTTCATCACCCACCGCAGCCGGGTCCCACCTTGGAGTACTACTACACTCCTCGGATTGCTGACATCCGCCCGGTCATCCTCTACCCGCCTATTCCAGCAAACAACTTCGAGATCAAGCCATGCTAAATTCAGCTCATCACATCCTCTATGCAGTTCCATGGCTTGAAGAATGAGGAGGCCAGGGTGCATCTTTCTTGTTTTCTGCAGCTGACGAACGGGTTCAAGCTGAATGGTGTTCCGAATGATGCAATCCGCCTTCATCTTTTCCCCCATTCTCTGGCGGGGAATGCTAAGAGGTGGTTGGAGACCCAGCCCCCATTGTCCATCACCTCTTGGGACGATCTGGCTGACAAGTTCGTGCACAGGTACTATCCGGCATCGAAGACTAAAGAGATTCAGCGGGAGATCACTCACTTCCGCCAAGAGCCAGATGAGTCACTTCGTAATGCTTGGGAGCGGTACATGGGCTATTTCTGGCAGTGTCCCCATCATGGCTTCAGTGATGCATTCACAATGGGGAACTTTTACAGTGCCCTCTCTCTAGATAGCTAGAGGGTGATTGAGTCTCTATGCCCAGGAGGGGATATTCTCACTAAGACTCCACCCGAGCTGAACCAGATGATCAGTACTTTGGCTGCCAGAGATCATTCTTGGGGACAGGGTAGCGGAGGCACACAGTCCCGGGACCGTGGTGTGGACGCCATGGAGACCAGATCCGGGCTCGAGCAGCAGGTAGCTGAGCTAGTGCAGATATTGAAGCAGCCCAACAGTCTGATTCCGGGCAGAGGTTTGGCTACACCTCCAGTAGCTCAATGTCAGTGGTGCGAGAGCTCCAATCACCTAGTGGAGGACTGCCAGGCTATGAGGGAGTCTACCACACCCCAGGAGCAGTTGGCCTTCATCGCCAATGCACGGCGCCTCGACCATACAGTAACACATATAATGAGGGGTGGCGCCAGCATCCCAACTTCGCCTGGAGCAGCAACACCACTAAACCACCTGGTTTCCCAGCACCAGCAGGTGGTTTTCAGTAGAGGCAGCCCTTCCAGGCTCGCCAGGGGCCAGACCCACAGCAGCAGCCCTACCAGCCTAGGCAGAGGCAGCCATTCCAGCAGCTCTTGCGCCAGTTTGCCGAGCCAGCAGCAGCTCCGGCCCCAGATGACAGGATGATGAAGCTGGAAAACATTCTAGCTTCATTCATGACTAGCACTCAGGCTGCTATCACGTCACTGGAGGCAGGTCAGTGGAACCAGGGTGCCATTTTGCAGGATCTGCAGACCTAGGTGGGCATCTTGGCCCGCCAAAACACCACTAGGGCACCGGGGACTCTGCCTGCCACCACTGTCCCGAATCCTCGAGATCCTCACCAGCATCAGCAGTTGGATGCCATTTTTACCAGGAGCGGTAAGACCATATCTGCTGATCCTGTCCCGGCCAGACAGGAGGAACCACTACCTGCTTCAGCACTTCCAGCCGACAATGCAGAAGTGCGGGTGGAGAAGGAAGCCCCTGCTCCCAAGCCACAACCAGTGGTTAAGGAGCATGTGCCAGAGCTTCCCTTCCCCACTCGCCTACACAAAGACAAGCTGGAGACTGAGTTTGCCAAGTTCATGGCAATGTTGAAGCAGCTCAACATCAGCATACCGTTCGTGGAGGCACTGACGAAGATGCCCAAGTACGCAAAGTTC